TGCATAAATTCTTCCAACCTTCTTGACCTCAACTTCTGTGGTGATAGATTTACCTGGGAAAAAGATAATGTGAAAGAACAGATTGATTAGGCTTTTTGCAATATAGACTGGAGACTTAAATTTTATCAAGCTACTTCCTTTCATTTACTTAGATATGGTTCTGATCACTGCCTAATTAGAATTCAATTATTCAAAGAGTCTCCTTAAAAAAATCAGTCTATACATTTTCAGTGTCATAATGCTTGGATGCTTGAGAATCCCTTCATCCTATAGTCAAAGACTCATGGATCAATAATAACTAGACAGAGGGAGCTTCTAACTTTGCCACATAGCTACTACTTGGAACAAGGAAAAAATTGGAAATATTCTTCTAAAAGAAAAGAATACTAAAGAGATTGGACGAAATTGATAAGATAGAAGCTACAAAAATAGTTACTTCCTACGAAAATTGAAAAAATCCCTTTGGAAGATTATAATAAAGTTCTTTTGCAAGAAGAGATGACTTGGTTCTAGAAGTCAAGATGTAAATGGCTTAAATGGGTGATCAAAATACAAAATTCTTCCATACTACATCTATCATCAGAAAGAAAAGAAATCAAATCTTATCTCTTAAAAATGATGACAACAACTGGGTGGAAGACCAAAATACCCTAAAGAACATGGCAGTTTCCTTCTTTAAAGACCTTTTTAAGGAAGATAATGATATTAAGCCCAAACTCTCTACAACTACTTGCTTTCCACCTCTTTCCCAGACTAACTTTAATCCTTACATAGGGATGTGACTGAAGCAGAAATTAAGAATGCTGCCTTTGATATTAGGGCATTCAAAGCCCCTGACCTTGATGATACCAATGCTGGATTCATTCATTCTTATTGGAATGATCTTAAAGACAGCATCTTCAATTTGGTCAAAAAGGCTTTCACAGAATCGAATTTTATAAGGGAGATTAATGACACTTTTATTACTTGATCCCTAAAATTAATCACCCTACCTGTATGAAAGACTTCCAGCCTATTTCACTATGCAATGTTTGTTATAAAATTATCACCAAAATTCTTTCTACAAGATTGCGCACGTGCATGAATCATTTAATTGGTGATTATCAAAGTAGCTTTATTTAGGGATGGTAGAGTAATGATAATATTATTATTGCTCAAGAAGTCATACATTCTATGAGGAAGAAAACGAGAAAAAAAGGATTTATGGCACTTAAGGTAAACCTTGAAAAGGCTTTTGACAAACTTTTATGGAATTTCATCAAGGATACTCTTATCTCCATTAGAATAAACAACCACTTTAAAAAATTAATTATGGCTACCATCTCCACCACTCGTATGAAAATCCTTTGGCATGGTGAACCAACTGAAGAGTTCAACCCTTCTTATGGCATTCGTCAGGGGGATCCTCTCTCTTCTTATCTTTTTGTTCTTTGTATTGAACATCTGAGCCATTGCATTCTTAGTAGTATTGAATAAAATGAATGAAAACCTATTAGACTAACACCTAATGGGCCTCTTATTTCTCACTTTTTTTTACTGATGATTTGTTGTTTTTTGCAAAACTATCTCTTTCTTAAACGCAAATCATTCTATAATGTCTCTCATATTTTTGTAAAGCTTACGGTCAAAAGATTAATGCTGGCAAATCCAAACTTTTCTTCTCTAGAAATGTCAATATCAATAGAGCTTTACAAATTAGTGATAATCTTGGAATCTCTCTTACCGGTAACCTTGAAAAATATCTTGTAATCCCTATCATTCATGAGAAGGTTACGAAGCTCACTATGTGCCTTTAATATAGAGGACAAACTCTTGCTTAGCGAATTAGAGAGGTCAATACCTCAACATAGTAGGAAAATTGGTCCTTATAAAATCTATTCTTTTGACTGTTCTTAGTTACACCATGCAAACTATGCTTTTACTCAACAATATGTTAGCGGAGTTGGAAAAATTTCTAAAAATTTTCTTTGGGATTCTTTTGATGGAAGGAAAAAACCTCACCTTATCTCCTGTGATTGTGTCACTTTTGATAAAAAGGTTGGCGGTCTTGGTCTTAGAAAACTCAAAAGCCAAAATATTGCCTTTATCATGAAGCTTTGCTAAGGCATTCTCATGAAAACAAATTGTCTTTGGGTACAAGTTCTAAGGGATAAATATAACTGTAGCCAACTGACTATCCCTATGGTTGTCAAACCTAATTCCTGCTCCTATACCTGGAGTAGCATTTACAAAATTGGGACAAATTCATGTCTTTAATTGGTTGGAAAATTGGTAAAGGAAACAAAATATCCTTTTGGTATGATAGATAGACCTCCCTGCCTGATCCTCTTGTATATCATGCCTTTCATAATGCCGACTCTATTCTTTATACAAGAGTCTCAGATTTCTATAAGCCCAACGAAGGTTGAAACTTAGATTTTATAAGAAAATACCTCCACCTAAATATTATTAAACAAATTGCTCTTGTTCAACCTTCTAATACTTAGGGCGAAGATGACATTCATATTTGGAGACCCTCTTCAGATGGAAACTTTTCTATTAAATCTGCCTATAAAGCTATAAAAATATCAAGCTTAGGATTCTAATGATATTTGGTCTAAAATCTAGAAACGACTTGCTTATGAAAAGATTAAGTACTTCCTTTAAAAAGCAGC